TATATAATTTATTCTTGCTTTTGTTTGCCTCTTTTCTGTTCTCCTTTTTTGCCTCCCTCTACTACATGTATCTCTTGTGTTTGTTTCTTAGGCCACTTATTATTATTGTAATTAATAATAATAATAATAATAAAATAATAATAATGAGATTATTAATGGAAAGCATGAAAAAGGGATTAGTCCTTACCAGTGAAAATAGCGTTGACCATCTTTATAGGTTCCGTCATAACTTTTACCATTTGTTCCTTCTCCTAACAAAATAACAGTTATAAAGAAATATAAAAATAATCTTTACTATTATTACCATACAGCACAATTTTTGAGGGCTGTAAGATTTGCAAAAATTAATTTATAGTACGGGTCAAAAAGCCGAACAATATAATTTTGCAAATTTTTTTGGCAAATTCCCAAAATTTGTAGCCCTCAAAAATTACAGTATTACTGCATTAGCATACTTGGTAGCTCCAGTTCAACACCACACTGTTCCTTCCCAATATATCTCAGGAGTCCTTGCTCATAGATACCATCCTTCCTCTTCACTACTACTATACTGCCTATCGGCATCTCTTCTAATACTCCAGGCACTATCACTGACTGCTTCTCTCCGGTCTTTGTTCTTACAATCACTTGAGATGATGTTGAAGTAGTTGCTTTAGAAGCTCCTCTTAGGTGAGTATGACAGGGAATTGCCTCTTTGCTACTTTTGTGGATTGATGATCGAGTATGACGTGAAAGTGATGGAGAAGTTTTTTGTTTAATGTCTGTGGAGTGTTTTGTAGTTGGAGCTGAGGGTCCTGATTGAAATGAGTCGCTGACAGCTGTTAGATACAATTCATTATCTTCCTCCATCTCTTCTTCATTACTTACATGTACATGCTCTGCCTCCTGATTTGCATCACTATTACCTCCTCCATCATCATCATCATCATCATCATCATCATCATCATCTCTATCAGTATCATGTGCAGCAAGACTCTGTAGTAGTTGCTCCTTCTCTTGTAACTGGCTATGAAGCTTTGCTATGGCTTCCTTAGAACCTTTCTTGAGTTCAGAGAGCTCGCTCTTTCTTTTCTTATACTTGACAGCCCAGGCTTGCTTCTCTTCCTGATACTTCAACAGTTCTTCTCTAAGGCTCAATATGGTGGATTCTTTCAGTGATAATTGTTCATCATATGAAGCTCTTAGGGTCTTCATTGCTTCCTTTGTGGTGTCCCTCTCTGTCTTGTACTTGCTAATCCTTTGCTCTATTTTAGCTATTGTTTCTTCATTCAGGGCAGCATCAAGGTGTTCCTTCAGCTCACGGTTACCCTCAGTGTGGAAGTGAAGTGATTCCGTTAATTTTGATATCTCTGTCTCCTTCTCTTTGAGTTTTTTGGACATGGACACCACCTACAGCACAGCAGACAATAGAACAAAGAGTTAATAGTATGAAATAACAATAGACAAATATTTGTTTCTGATTTTAAAATGAGCATTTTCAAAACCAACCAATTTTTGAAAAATACTTAAGCTTGCTATAGCCCATGGTTTTTTCAAAAAATGGCTCCAAAATCATCCCAAATTTTTATTACATTTTTTGATACATATTAATGTCCTTATGCTGTGTACAAAGTTTGAGCTGATTCTGACAAACATTTTTTGAGTTATGGCCATTTAAAGAAATCGGCCATTTTTGAAAAATACCCAAGGCTATGCCCATGCTTTTTTCCGAAAAATGGCTCCAAAATCACCCCAAATTTTTAATACATTTTCTGATACATATTGATGTCCTTATGCTATGTAGAAAGTTTGAGCTGATTCCAGGTTCAATTTTTCAAGTTACGACCATTTTAAGAAAATGCCAAAAAATGTGAAAAATACCCAAGGCTATAGCCCATGGTTTTTTCCAAAAAATAGGTCCAAAATCACCCCAAATTTTATTACATTTTCTGATACATACTGATGTCCTTATGCTATGTAGAAAGTTTGAGCTGATTCCGACAAAATTTTTTCGAGTTACAGCCATTTTAAAGAAAATGCCAAAATTTTGAGAAATACCCAAGGCTATACTATAGCCCATGGTTTTCCCGAAAAATGGGTCCGAAATCACCCAAAATTTTTATTACATTTTTTGATACATATTGATGTCTTTATGCCATGTAGAAAGTTTGAGCTGATTTCGAAAAATATTTTTCAAGTCATGGCCATTTTTAAAAAATCAGTAAAAATTTTGAAAAATACAGTTTTCTTTCAAAAATTGGCTCAAAAATTACCCCCAATTTTATTCAAAGCCATTACATAATTACATATACTGTACCTCTTTCTTTAGTTTGGCATATTTCTCTGGATCACATGATTCGACTAGTTCAGCATTTCTCTGTGACAGTTCAGCCTTCTCAGCCTTCAATGAGTGTATTGTATTCTCCATCTTAAGTCTCAGACTCTGTAGCTCCTGTACTTGTCTCATACTATCATGTCTTGAATCTGATGATGACTGGCTCTGCATGCAATTAAAAACATACATTATGATACAACTGTACTGTAGACAGGTTTACAGTTTAGTTATAGTTAAATATACATGTATAAAGGACTGTTATGCATCAGTGAATCAATGCCCTGTACAAGTAACTCAAATTAATAGTGACTGAGAATTAGTCCAAACTTTTAATACTGAAATACAGTACTAATCATGGGCAGTTGTAGAAATTTGGTTTGACCTGGGCATCAATAATTAGTGGGTGTGGTTCCATACATTTTTGCAAGGAAAATGGACAATACTGATCTATAACTTCATTGAGATGGCTTCTTAGCATAAAACAACAAAGCCTGTTGAACTACCACAGTTTACACTGGATGCCCACACCAGAATCATGAATATAATTATTTATCAAAAAGTCAACGTGGGCATTGCCCCCTATGCCCAGGCCTGCAACCGCCTATGGTACTAATACTGTAGTCATCATAAAATTGAGATAATTTCAGAGTTCAATTTTAACATAAGACATACATGTACATGTACACTGAGTACATGCCTATAATTGACAAAAATTCTGCCTGAAAAAATTTGCTACTACACAGTATTACTCCATTCCTCTTCTTTTACCTTCAAGTGTTGTTCCAGCTGTTCTTCTGCTGCTAGTTTGTCTATTGAAAGTTGAGCTAAGAGACTCTTCAGTTCATCCATTTCATTACTCAATGACTCAGCTCTGTCTCTCCATGCATCACACTTCTCTTGTAATGTCACCAGCTCCAACTCACCAAACTACAAGTAATGATAAAATAATGAAAATAAAGTTACAATCAGTATCATTTTGTGAAGGACAAAATAATTGCAAATTGACATATAGTGTTTGAATAGGGTATCTTGCATGGATTTTGGAAATTTGTGGTCACTTGTATATACAATTATAATGTTTCAAAATTGTGAGTTTTATTTTAGCAAATATGACTATGAATAGTCACCAAATCTGTCAAGTTTTAGATTCTCCAAATCACCAGCCATACAACACTAACAGTGCTTGTACATGAAACTAGTCAATCAGTTTTCACAGCACTGTTCAGTATTGTTGTAATAACTTCAAGCAGTGTATACAGTTTCATGATATATCGTAGATTAGGAAATTAGTGTGGTAGAAAATTTTTGTGTTTTAAAATTGTGCTGTGATTTAATTTTTACTTAAAAAATCACTGTGTCATGTATTATTGAATGTGGCATGTACTGTAATTATATGGATGATCTAATTTTTTGAAATTCTAATTCAGTAAAATTTAAATCGCAGTAAAAATTTCTAGATAGACAGTAGTTTATTTAATAAATGCTTTTATAAACTTCGATCTCCTTCAATAACACCAAACTATTGTACATGTACCTGTGTGTTCTGCAATAATAAATACTCTCCATTGATTCAGTGTTTTGTTTTTCCTACAGAGTTTATAGTTAACACATTAATGATTGGCACCTCAGTGTTTATGTTTCTAGTATTTCATGAATAATAATATCAATAAATATCAAAACAAAAACACCTTGTGATCATAATAGTGAGTCTGTATGGTACTACAGTATCCTTTATGAAGCAAAACTTGCAGCTAAAGTTGAAAAATAGCAAAACGGGTATAAAAACCAGTCACTCACTGCTGGTAAGTCTCAGTTCATATTTGTAGCTATACAAGACTTAAAGAGAATATGTCTTATTGGTTTTTACTGGTGAGTTGGTTCATTCTTGTGATTGTTACTGGACAGTCATCATCAGGTATACTATGGTAATATTACAATTGAAGTTTATTGGTCCCATACAATAGCTTGCATCCGTCGAGATTGTAAGGAGCTGTATGATGCAGGCTACAGATGCAGTGGAGTATATAAAGTGAAACCTGATGAACTACCAGCCTTTGAGGTACATATAATATTAATATAATTGGTACAAGCCTATGCAAAAGTACCTCTGAAATGAGGACACTCTGTATTAAGGACAGGTAGTGTGGGCCCAATTGTGTCCTTAATAAAGAAGCTACACTGTACATATAATATAACTTATATTCAATAGGTATATTGTGATATGAGTAAAGGAGGTGGCTGGACTGTATTTCAAAGGAGAATGGATGGTTCTGTTAACTTCTACCTCAACTGGGCTGACTATGTTAAAGGATTTGGAGACCTCAACGGAGAGTTCTGGCTGGGACTTAACAAAATAAACCGACTCACAGCAAGAAACCCCAGTTTTCTCCGTATAGAACTGGAGGACTTTGCAGGGATAAAAAAATATGCTTATTACCACACCTTTGGAGTTGGGAATGCAGCTAGTAAGTATAAACTAACTGTCACTGGATATAAAGGAACTGCTGGAGATAGCCTGAGCTATCATAATGGAATGAAGTTCTCTACCAGAGATCAAGACAATGATCTTGGCCGCTCAGAAGACTGTGCAAAACGTTATAAAGGAGCATGGTGGTATAAGCACTGTCATCAATCAAACCTCAACGGTCTTTATTTGGTTGGGTCTCACTCCTCATATGCCAATGGTGTCAATTGGTATCATTTCAAGAGATACCACTATTCACTGAAGACATCCCAAATGATGCTTAGAAGGAGATAAGGGAGTCAGTCAAATCAACTAACATTGATGGACACTTGGACAGTAGCTAGTTACTTCAAGTAGATATAGCATTAGGACTTTTATGAGTAGACATGTACATGTACAGTACATGTACATGTAGCATTTTGTAGTAATCTGTAGTATTTTGGTTTTTTTGCTAAAATATTTCACAAACTTTGTCTCTTTAATATAAAAATACACACACACACGTACATGTACTACAGCAGGAGTGCGAATGGTAATAAGAATATTAGAAAGACCGTAAAACATTTAAGGGGCTCCGCCTCCTGGGTGACCACACCTCCTAGTCACGCCCAGATGTACATACACATGTATACAAAAAGATTTCATCTGAGTGTGCTTTGCTCAAGAAATGTACATGTACATGTACATGTAGGTTGGGAATATAAATACAAATTTATCAATAGTCCCCATGGGGCCCCCTTGAAGCTAACATCACTAAAATTTTGAAATTGTGAACTAAAATTTTTCTACCCCAGCCATGTACATGTACATGTACATAGCAAGGAACATGTTAAGGTATTTAAATGCACACATGAACATGTACACATGACATATATGTACATGTACATTATAGTGCATGTACTACAGTACCTTTGGGTCGGGTTTTCCACTGAGTCTGTCCTGAAGTGATTGTATTAGTCGGTCCTTAGCCTCCATCTCTTTTAGAAAGGATTTCATTTGAGATCTGTTACCCTCAACTTCCGCTTTTAGTTTCTCCATAACTTCAATTTTAACAGTACTATCAGCACTTAACGTACGGACCCTGTAATGAAATACATGTACATGTACATGTACCGCATAGCTGCAAATTTTTATGGATTTAACTTTAAAATTCTATGAACTGATCAAACAAGAATGTCAACTGTGTAAGTTTATGATCAGGGATCAAGATCAAGATCAGGGATCAAGATCAAGATCAGAGATCAAGATCAGTGATCAGTGATCAAAGTTCACACACTAAATTTATAGTCCAACTTAAGCATACTAGCAGTACGTGTACAAATGCTTCCCATCTCTTCCTCTTACTTCTCAATGTCCTTCTCAAGTGATGATATTTTCTCTTGATACTCAATCTGTTGTTTCTTACAAAACTCCATTGCTTTAGAGTAGAGCTCCTGCAGTTTGGCACTCTGCTGGGTGTAATGATGAGTGGACTGGATAGTCTGAGAGAGAGAGAGAGGGAGAGAGAAATTATAATTACACAAGTACACATACGTGTACATGTTTTAGTAGGCACAAAAATACAGCCCTATACTAGTGATTTTATTATTGTTGTGAAATTGTAAAATTTCCAAAATTGAAACTTCCTAAAAACCACCCAATATAGTGTACAGTGAACATGAATGTGAATGTAACAAGCATAACAGTGTAAAAAATATTCCTATAATTGATTTCACTACCTTGCAAGTATAATTTTGTCATTATTAAGACTTATAGAGGTTCTCTCTACCTTATAATGCTTCTAGAGAAGTCTTTAGACAGTATCTCTATGCTCTCTTACTGTTAGAAAGCTCTTAACTTTGTCCCATGTGTAAACCGCCATTTTGTTTGCCGTGGCCACACCCACTCATGTAAAGGAGTGTGGGGTAAGGCGTGTTATTTCTCCAATACAACGTGTATAGAAGAAATGTAAGTGTGGACATACAAATAAATATATATATATATATATATATACATAGCGCGAAGGTGAAATCAATTATAGGAACGACCTGGGGGCTACGCCCCCAGGTCGTTAAAAACAAACAATAGAAGAAACGTGTACATGTACATGTATACACAATATTAATGTACATACTTTTGATTGGTCGTTCATGAGTGAAGCGTATTCCACCATTTGGTTCTCGAGTGCAGTGATACGATCCTTAGCTTCAGTCAGTTCCCTCTCTTTATCATCAACCTCTCCTTCTTTCTCTTCAAGTTGCTCTCTTAACTCTTCAACAAGAC